AGCCGCCAACTCAAGATCATGAGTGGGGTAATTCTTTTCGTATTCCTTCAACTGACGTGATGCATAAGCGATAACCTTTCCTTTCTGCATCAATACACAACCAAGTCCCAATCGTGAGGCATCACTATAGACAACAAAACCCTCACTACCCTCAGGTAAGGCAAGAACTGGTGCATGCGTCAAACAATCTTTCGAAGTCTGAAATGCCTTCTCTTGGTCTTCGGTCCATGCAAACTTTACATCTTTGCAGGTAAGATAAGTAAGAGGAACAGCAATCTTAGAGAAATCCCAAATGAAACGTCGATAATATCCCGCTAGCCCGAGAAAACTCCGAATCTCTGATGCATTCTTGGGTTGTTCCCATTTTTGTACAGCTTCAATCTTTGCAGGATCCATAGAGATACCGTCATCGGACACAGTATGTCCCAAGAATTGTATCTGACGTAGCCAAAATTCACATTTTGAAAATTTAGCATAAAGCAGCTCTTTTCTTAACAACTCCAGCATTTGTCGAAGGTGTGTTGCGTGATCGGTCTCAGACTTCGAGTACACAAGAATGTCATCAACGAATACAATCACAGACTTATCAAGCATCGGACGACATACTCGATTCATTAAGTCCATAAATACAGTTGGGGCATTTGTGAGACCGAAAGGCATCACCAGAAATTCATAATGCCCATATCTCGTACGGAAAGCAGTCTTAGGTACATCCTCCTCCCGTACTTTTAGTTAGTGATAACCTGATCTGAGAACAATCTTGGAGAAGAGCCTTGCACCTTGAAGCTGATCAAACAAATCATCAATACGAGGTAACGGATACTTATTCTTAATTGTTACCTTATTCAGCTCACGGTAATCGATGCACATCCGAAAAGATCCGTCTTTCTTCTTGACAAATAATACCGGAGCACCCCAGGGTGAAGTGCTCGGTTGTATGAAACCTTTATCCAATAATTCYTGTAGTTGATCCATCATTTCTTTCATTCATCTCTGGAGGTGCGAGACGATAAAGAGTCTTTGCTATCGGTGCTGCACCTGGTATCAAATCGATTCTAAACTCCACTTGCCTATCTGGTGGTAATCCAGGCAAGTCTTCAGGAAACACGTCCGGGTATTCATGTACTATTGGTACATCGTCCACGATCTTCTTCATCTCCTTCGTGGAGTCTAGTACATAAGCTAAGAAAGACGAGTATCCTTTATTAAGATAACGTCGAGCCTTTAATACGGAGATTATCTTAATGTCAATCACCCGTCGTTCATCGTAGATATATAAGAATTCTCCATTTTCCAACGGAATCCGTATCATTCGTCGCGAGCAAACGATATCTGCTCGATTCTTTGCCAACCAATCCATACCAATTACCACGTCAAAGTTATGAATACCCATTGGAATCAAATCGACCGTGAACTCATGGTCTCCCAAGTCTAATCTACAATCTCTATAAACTTTATCATCTACAAGTGTTGCTCCGTTCGTAGTGTCGACATTGAAAGGTCTTTCAAGCATGATTGGCACGGAATCGAGGTACTGAGTATAATAAAGTGACACAAAAGAATTCGTGGCTCCTGAGTCAAATAAAATACATGCAGGTCTATCATTGAGAAGGAAAGTACCAGTTACGACGTCCRGTTCCTTCAATGCCTCCTCTGCTGTGATTTGAAAAGCCCTGGCTCGTGCCCTGGGCACCTCCTCCTTTTGGGTCGAAGTACCCACTCTCGTTGGTTGTTGTACCGAGGCTTTGCTTTCATCTTTTTTTATACGGGGACAATCTTTAATGCGATGTCCTAACATTCCGCAGGAATAGCATGCACGATCTCTMTRGGGACAATTCATCCTAACATGACCCGCTTCACCGCAACAAAAGCATTTAATGACAGATCTATCCGTATCACACCGGCCTTGGTGTGTCTTTCCGCACCTTCGACAATCTCTTGGTGTGCTCGACTACAAAATGTCACATTAGTTTTTT